TGATTTGATTGAATTTCTTTGTAAAATAACCATATGTTTCCTATTTTGACCACAGAAAGAATCAGAGAAGCGTAATGTAACAGTGCAGGCAGACGACCCAATCTCCTTCATGCAGCTGACAGCCAAAAACGAGATGACTTCGAAGGAAGACCAGTTCCAGCTCAGTCTGCTGGCTGCTATGGGAAACACTCAGAGGAAAGAGGCGGCTGATCCCCTGGCTTCAAAACTCAACAAGGTAAACCACAAGTCCTGCACAAATCTTACCATACAAGAGAAATGGAAATTACTATGAGAGAAACAATGCTATGGGAATTTTCTGCTATAAATATTACTTCTGCTTTGAGATTAAATGGATTTTTAATTATTTTTATTTTTATTTTTATATAAAATGTACCCATTCAGTGTTGCAATTATAATTCATAAATATTTTAAGACCTTAGTGTGACATTACCCTCAGAGGATGAAGTTTGTTTTGTTGTACAGTGGGAAAGTAGTTTGCTATTTAGCTGTGGAATTTGACCTATTTAGTGTTATTTAGTTTCGTTTCATTTCTATTTGGCTTCAGGGAATAATTGTGTTTTCATACAAGGACACACAGCCACAAGTCATGCTTTTCTTTTTCATCCTGCAGCTCTGCTGCTCTGTATTTAGTTGTATAACTGAATGCTATTCATTTTTGTCCAATGTAGGTGACCCAGCTGACAGGCTTCTCAGACCCAGTGTATGCTGAAGCTTATGTTCACGTCAACCAGTATGACATTGTGTTGGACGTGCTGGTCGTCAACCAAACCAGCGATACTCTCCAGAATTGCACCCTTGAACTGGCCACTTTAGGTGAGTTTATTTTCCACCACTGGACAAACTGTGTACCAGTTCTCTTCTCTAGTAATGCCGATTCTAGCCAGTCACAGCTGTGTTGCTACCTTGAACTATGTACACATTTCACTAACTCTATCCATCCTACAGGTGATCTCAAGTTGGTTGAGAAGCCTTCGCCTCTAACCTTGGCCCCTCACGATTTTGCAAACATCAAGGCCAATGTCAAGGTGGCGTCTACTGAGAATGGCATTATATTTGGCAACATTGGTAAGAGAATAATTTTGTGTCCACTTAACATCAAAATTCAACTCATGTTGTGTTTGTATTGCTCTTTATAAGCAGAGCGTGTTTTCTCATTTGTGGGGATGTTTGATTCTCTCTTCCCAGTCTACGATGTGTCGGGGGCTGCTAGCGACAGAAATTGCGTCGTCCTCAGTGACATCCACATTGACATCATGGACTACATCCAGCCAGCTTCCTGCACCGATGCAGAATTCAGACAGATGTGGGCTGAGTTTGAGTGGGAAAACAAAGTACGTTTGTTGTTTGTGTTTTCTCAACTTGCTTTTATAAGGGAACATATCAACAAATCCATAAGAATGTTTTTGAAAATGTAAAAACACATTGAAGATGGTCCTTTCTCTGTTGTAGGTGACCGTGAACACCAACATCACCGATCTGAATGATTATCTCCAGCATATCCTCAAGTCCACCAACATGAAGTGTCTGACTCCTGAGAAGGTTGGTGTGAGACGCTACAAACAGCAGAGCAAAAACCGTAATTGGGGGTTTAAAGCTGGCAGCACTCAAAGATAAATTAAATATGCAGTTAAAACTTCTGGTGCTGGTGCATGTTGGGAAGAATAAGTGGCTTTTGTAGTAGTCCCTACTACTTTTTTTTTTTTTTCCCCTCATAGTTATATGTATGTAACCTAGCACACGTCATGCCCAAGCCAATCATATTAGATGAAGTGTGTTCACACTGTGTTGCACCTGTTGTTGCAATATTCTCAACTTTTTTTCCTCCTCGTCTTACAAACTAGGCACTGTCTGGCTTCTGCGGATTCATGGCTGCCAACCTTTACGCTCGTTCTATCTTTGGAGAAGATGCCCTGGCTAATGTCAGCATCGAGAAGCCCATCCACCTGGGTCCTGACGCACCTGTCAACGGACACATACGCATTAGAGCCAAAAGTCAGGTGGGTAACAGCAGCTGCAACATGAACCCTAATACATCTGAGAAAGTAAAGATTTTTGTTGGATTTATTTGCGATAAAGAAGTGCAATGAATTCATCTTTTTGGAAGGATAACAGTTAAATACCATTTTATTGAAAGAATGTGAAGAAAAAGATGAAGAAAAGTGAATATATGAAGTAACATACATACTGTACCTATCTCACTAAAACTTAATGCTCCAGCATGTAACATGTCTGTTAATATTCAAGTCAGTTACAATAAGTCTTCTCTCCTTTATTTCACAGGGGATGGCCTTGAGCCTCGGTGACAAGATCAACCTCTCCCAAAAAAAGACAAATGTCTGAGACTGATCCATCTGACTTTGTAAAAGTCACCTGCTGTTCTCTCGCATCGCCATTCATATTACAACCTTCTCATCACAGCAAATTAAGAACTCTATATGTGGTCAGTTGCTTCTGTGCTTTTTTTTTTTTTTTTACATCACCTCTGTCTAAAAACTACATCTCAGTTCATGTTCTTTCCCTGTCCTCTTTAATTTTCAATAAACATATGTATTAAAATGAGAAAACGTGTATCATGTTGTATTCATTGAGTCATACTCCTCTTTAATTTTGGACACAGTTTTATATGTATATTTAATTCATTACAATTCACATGATTTGATTTTTGAAATAAATACAATAATGTGGACAACTGTCAATTTGTCAATATAACTGATTTCTCTCCTTTCCTGACTATATTGTGACGTTTAGATCAAAATCTACAGTAGCTTTGGACATGGGCTTGTTAATACTGGTTATTAATTTGTAGTATTTTGTACCTAACTTCCTGTTAATGTTTTCTAATTGATTCATGAATAGTGAGATGATATTTTTATGAAATGACTAACTTCAATTACTCCTTTTTAAGACATCTAATGAGACAATTTTGACACTTTTATTAAGGGAGATAGAGGTGAGGTAAATAAGAGGCTGTTTCTGCCCACTCTATATATAGAAATAAGATATTGAATCTACCACTCATCATTAAATAACAGTTTGGATGAATACTGTGAACAGCCGCTATTTGAGTGCTTTCTTCTGGCAAGTTATACAGTCCATGTGGCAGTATATGTTTTGTAAGTGATTTCAAGGGGGGAGGTGATTTTACTGGTTCCCAAAGGTGGTTGTGTCCTAAAGTAAAGGAACTCCTGCCTGGAGCTCCTGCTGTGTCCGGCTTCATAGCTCCTGGCTCTAATTAGAATTCCTTAGATGCTTCGTGTGATATTGTGCACAGTGTGAAACTGATTGGATTTTGTTCTGTCAGTACCCCCCAAGACTGACAATGACATCATGAAGACTACATATCCCAGGCAGGGACATTATTTCTTTTATATATCGCAGTGATTTCAAAGGTGCTCTCAAAGCCATCTGCAAGTTTTATTGTCACTGTGATAATGAGATGGAGATGGATTAGTGTTGGCACACACCTACATATTCCACTTTCCCTCCTGTTTATAATTTATGAGTAAAGGGACATTTCTGGGAATATGCCAGATTAAAGGGTCACAGCCTCTGGTCATACATTTACAATATCTGTGAAATCTGTCTCTCCAGGGGGTTAGATAGAGGCTGAGAGGTGGCTTTAAGGTCAGAGCTTCAACTGTGAAAATAAACAGTTGGCTATTTGGCAGCGCTGTTACAGCCAGGCTGCTGTGTAACAGTGTATGTCCTCATTGGGTTTAGATGTTGCCCATAATCGTTATAATGACAGCTAAACTCCATAACCTAAATATCTGAGCTTTTGCACCTCGTCTTTGTGTAATGACCTTCTCTTTTGGTAAGCTTTCATGCAGGCAGTCTCCTCACCAAGGGATCACTCTTACATTCTTTATTTCCTCATATTTTATAGGGATCTGTATTTATAGTGGCTTTATTATATTTTGCATCAAGGCCAGTGTCAAAGCGACTTCTGCTTTTCATCCTCTGAGGTATCCGTGTAATATTGTATTCCTCCTGACGCTGTAAGGTTTTTGTAGACGCCTGTCCTGACACTAGGTGGCGCCACAGGTGTCGAAGCAGACGGTGTGGTGGCATTTTGCATAGTTTAATCCTGTAGTGAGATTTGTCATAACATGACATATAATTGACATGTTGACACAATACATGCGATGCTTGAACACACTAAAGGAGGGGCTGTCATTGCAGATAAACTGGCTTCAGACTGGCAATGAGGAATAACAAAAGCAGCATTCATCCATGTAGTGTATAATTATAAGATATGCTGTGCAGTGATATTTTATTAACCTTTTTATCAGATTGTTTTGCCTATTTTGTTGCCTATTTTTACTGCTTAATGATATGTTGTTGTTGTACAATCCCTGGCCCTTACTGGGGAGTAGCCAATGTAAAAAAAGATTTTTGAAATGCGAGATGTTTTTAAAATGTGTTGCATCAATTTGTGCTCTTTCCACTGCAGACACTTGGAAACAGTGTGGTATAATAAATCAGGAACAATGAAGCAGCGGGTTGTAGACATCTCCATCCTCAGAAAGTGTCTGTTAAAGTATAATGAGAAAATTCTACTAGACAAAGACGAGAAAAGGCAAATATCCATATCCGTATCTGCCAAATGCTCATAGAAATGAAGATATAGAATAGAATAATTCCAATATTGGGCATTTTATTTTTATTTGGTTTGTATGTGTGTATAAGAGAGAGAGAGAG